ACTCGCATGTAAAAGTAAGTTTTCTTTTATTCATTTATATACGGTACTGTTTAAAGTAACTTTGCCGGTTGTGATTGTGATTAAAACAAACTCGTATAGAGCTGTAGTTCAGTAAATTAATATTTTGATCGTTGTCATTTGTTTATCGTCCTCCATAGTGATTGTACTCGACTTCACATCGTTACTTAATCTGATCTTATTTTTTTCAAATTCAATTATATTTCCATAAGCCCCCCCCCCCCTCAATTTCCTCTCTGTTTTGTATAAGCGCCCCTCAAAAGTGCAACAAAAAAATTATTCGCGCGAGTAACTAGAAACTAGAATACATTTTTTTTATTGTCAATCAAAGACCCCTAAATATGTGTAGGCGTTTCCTGTAAGGCATTTCGCGGTCTCTTAACTGTAAACTTCCCCTCGTGTCTCGCTCTATTATTTCTATCAGTTTTAGCTGTCTCTTAAAATGGACTCGAGACTCTAGGCTTTCTGGTCATATTCGACAGATTGATATAAGCATGACAATAGGCCTACATCCGAAAACTACCTCCAGCATTATTGAAAGTAGTCCTACCATTACATTTGTTCTAGTTAAGACAATTCCACGACAATTTAATCCAACTGAACTCCTATATGCTTATGATTTAATATAGATTTTATCGGGTGATAATAATTGGTAAATATTTTTAATCCTTTCATTTTTTTGTTATGATCAAACGTCATCATTAAACATATATCCTATGTTAAAATATTTTTTGAAGGCAAGTTGTCCTCAATATGTTTTATCTTTATGCATTGTGGTTAGGTAGGTTTTCTTTGAATATGTGATTGAAGTAAAAATGAATTAAATTCATTCGAGTAGAAGCTTTGGTGATACAGTAGGCCTATAGTAATTATTTATTTATTTTTTCAGTTGAAAGAGTTTTTGTAGAGGTAAATACTTCCCCAAATCATTACTACGATAATTGAGATATTAACCGAAAGGTCCACTGATTAATCTCAGAAGAAAGTATAATACATACTCCAAGTATTGAAATACACGCCATCGTGTTAGGACTCAATATTTCGACATTAATTATGTCATCATCAGGAATGAAAAATTATCCATATTAGCAAGCTTATATGCACTAGTACCAAAAGTGTTTAACCAATCAAAACAATACCTCTAGTAGGCGACATAGCAGTGATTTAAACAAAAGATCAAAGCATTCTTACTCTAATGATCAAAGGTACCTACAAAAACAAAGAAAGCTCTTTTTAAGCTCTGAGCCCATTCTTAAGCAAAGGGTGTAGTCTACGTATAGCGAACGCTTCTTTAAACAACAGGATAGACCAGTTTCGGGAGCTGTCAATAATGCTAGTACTAGAAGATTATTGAGATATTAAGTATGAAGAATAGTTATAGGAATAAATGGCGTCTACAAAAAAAAAATTGTAAAGCCTTGGATATTTCGTTTCGGTAGAACTTAGTTTTGTCTGCTAAAAATATGTTGATGACTGCTAAATTGAAGTTGGTAGTAAAAACCTTCTTCTTAGAAAAGCGTTAGGTCGCAGCTTGAAAATCATGTACTGTAAATAATATTCAAATACCATGATCATTGCTGACGTTTTATGAAGCACTTCTTTGCTGACGCAATGGAGCGTTTGCATCGTGTTGCGCAATTAACTTTTATTTGGTTAGGTTTCTACAAGCTTAGGTCGTTGGTCACTAGGATTTAGCTACATAAATGCTTTAGGTGCAGGTCAACTCGGCCACAAGTCAACTCGGCCACAGTCAACTCGGCCACAAGTCAACTCGGCCACAAATCAACTCGGCCACAAAAACTTCGGCTGCAGTTAACTCGGCCACAAGTCAACTCGGCCACAAGTTAACTCGGCCACAAGTCAACTCGGCCACAGGTTATTTATAATTAAAATGAAATGTAAATACGGTATTATAGTTTCTGCATCCTTTTTCTTCATGATTAAAATGAAGTACACAGTATATTTTAGTAAAATTCTGATCATCGTCACATCGTCGTGAGATCGTTGTATACATTTCTTCACATTGTACTCTTATTCAACAGAGAAAACCCGCCACTTACAGAATGGAATAAAATCTGACAATTGTAACATTAACAATTTAAGCAATCCTGTCTCTTATACACATCTAGATGTGTATAAGAGACAGCGTATCTTTAGTCTTCAATTGTTCAACAACATGTTTTACAAACTCCGACTCGCTCAACACTTTCATGGTGCCGGATTTGTCATAACCTGCTACAAACTGGGCATAAGCTTCGAGGTAGTACGCAGAGTCAAATATACTCATTATTTTAATTTGGAGAAAGTTGTCTTTTATATGGAAAAAAACTCTAGCTTGTCGTCAATTAGAATGTACAAACGTCTGTCTCTCCTCGAATAATTACCTCACCATGACACATACCATTTGACATCAATTCTTATGATATCATGCGCTTAAAACACAGCAAATATGGATCCTTTTTTTAAATGTATTTGTTGGTTTAATATCACGTGTCATTGAGCATTTACACTGTCAGATTATACAGTCACGCGCTGTAGATACCAGTATTATTATTGGACACAAATTCGTATATCATCCACTTACAACACGCCCAGTAGATCCTTGTAATTGTATTGGTCGGTTTATCACGTGATTGTAGTCAGGTGCTGTAGTGCATAAATATTTGTAGACTTGCCACAAGTCTCTTATTTTTTTAAATTATTTTTCTCATTCTGGACAGCGCCACCAACGAGAAAGTTAATTTAGAGATAGACGGAATAGAATAAGCGACTTGTAAAACACTGAAGTCAGGCACCAGGATGCCAAAAGAATGACGTAATCTTATATTCCGTATTTGGATAAATGGGCGGACCGAAATAAACAATTTCAACCAATCAAATGTTCATA